GAGGCGGAGCTTGCAGTGAGCTGAGATCCGGCCACTGCACTCCAGCCTGGGCGACAGAGCGAGACTCCGTCTCAAAAAAAAAAAAAAAGAAATGGTTGTGCATTTGCCTCCACGTTTCTGGGCAACATCCTTGGATTGTGATCTCTTGACTATTGACTTCTGGGTATTTGGTACTGACTTCTCCCCATGGAAGGCGGACTCCCAAATTAACAGTATTAGAGTTTTAGCTAAATCAGCACCTTCTCACTGGTGATATTCTGGCCGCGTAACGGCCTCAACAGCTCAGCCTTCTGCTGCTGCTTTCAGGGTTGATGCTTCTCTGGCTCTGTTGTCTCTCAGTTTCCCGTCCTGGTCCCTTGACACTTGGCTCCTCCTGCCCCTCCAGCCACTCTCTAGCTCCTGCCCTGCACGGTCCTGGGACTGACCCCCGCCGTGCCCTGGTCCACACCCTCCGACCTCCAGGTAGTGGTGAAGCTCAGCTGTTGGGTGTTTCCCAAGATAAGGTCCACGGAGTATTTTTGGAGCTGTGCACCTCCAGGGTCTGGGCCTGCTGCACCCCAACTTGAGAGTTCAGTGGAGCCAGGACTTCTGGGTCGAGATGACGTTCCCTTAGCACAGGCAGGCTTTGCTCCCAGAACTGCTGTTGAGACCCCAGAACCCGTTCCTCTTCCTGCCCCTCTGATGTGACCTGCTCTTCCGGAGGTTTTGAGGTCTTCCATTTTCACTAGTGTTGAGAAATTTCATGACGATGTGCCCCCCCAGGGGGTCTCTCTCCACCCCCCTTCGGCCACTCCACAAACCTGCCAAGTCCGGTTCCTGTAGGGGCTCCCGTGGCCTCACGTCTGGAAACCCGTCAGTGAAGAATTACTTAGGAATTTCCTTCCCTGCTCTCCCTTCTTCCTGGAATCCCCGTTATTTGTATGTTGGACCTTCTTGACGGCATCTCCAATTTTAAACATCCTTTCTCTGATGGTCCTTCTCTTTATGTATTTTGTACTACTTCTTGGAAGACAACTTCAAATTTATCTTCCAAACCTCCCACCGAGCTTTCATTTCTCATCCTGTCCTTCATCCACCAGGTTCTGTCCTATAGTCTGAAAGCTCTTTCTGTGGGAACCCCACCTCCACTTCACAGACGCGGTATCTTCCAAAGATCCTGGTTACAGCGTTTGTGCTTTTAAGTGTTCTTTTGCTTCCTCCAAGCTCCAGCTTAGTGTGTGTACTAGTCAGGGTTCTCTAGGGGGACAGAACCCATAGGATATACATACATATATGTATTATAAGTAATATATATATATAGATATATTTTATATCTATCTACCTATCTATCTATATATATAGTGAGTTTACTAAGTATTAACTCACACAATCACAGGGTACTAAAATAGGCCATCTGTAAGTTGAGGAGCAAGGAGAGCCAGCCCCAGTCTCAAAGCCGAAGAACTTGGAATCTGATGTTCGAGGGCAGGAGGCATCCAGCATGGGAGAAAGATGTAGGCTGGGAGGCTAGGCCCATCTTGCCTTTTCACGTTCTTCTGCCTGCTTTATATTCTAGCCTTGCTGGCAGCCGACTAGATGGTGCCCCCCAGATTGAGGGTGGGTCGGCCTCTCCTCGTCCACTCAGTCGAAGGTGAGTCTCCTTTGGCAACACCCTCACAGAGACACCCAGCATCAATACTTTGCATCCTTCCATCCGATCAAGGTGACACGCAGTGTTAACCATCCCCGTGCGTTACTGTCAGCGCACCTGTGGCTGGCGAGAGGCCCCACAACCCTGACTGCTCCTGCCCAGTGCTGCCCTACAGAGGAGCCACCTCCCTGTGTGCACGGCGTGGCCTGGCAGCCCTGGAAGGCCAGAGGTACTGTTGGCTGAGAAGCGTCTGTGCACCTCCAGCAAGGGTCTCACCTGTATCCTTCTGGTTTCAGCACGGAGCCCTAGCCCCGTCCTTAACCGTGCCACTCACAAAGGCCCCCTGGAGACCCTGTTTCCAGCCCAGCTTCTTGAAGGAATCTGGGCCTCCACTTCCTGTGCCCCCCTGAGGCTCCAAAGCCAACTGGCTTCTTCCATTTGCGGTTCCGCACTCTCAGGCCTCTGAGGACTGTCGCCGCCTGGACATCTGCCTTCCAGGTTCCAGCTCCCATCTCCTCTCTTATTCTCTTGAAATTTTTGTCTTCATTTTAAAGCAAAGAGGCAATAGATGCTTGTGTTTAAATGTCACTTTAAACTGTAAGTCCTACTTAAAACTTTTTAAAAAGTTAAATATATATATTTGACACTCTGTCCCCCAGGCTGGACTGCAGTGGTATGATCAAGGCTCACTGCAGCCTCAACCGCCCGGCCTCAAGTGATCCTCCCACCTCAGCCCCCTGAGTAGCGAGACTACAGGCATGCACCACCATGGCTGGCTAATTTTCGTATTTTTTGTAGAGACGGGGTTTTGTCATGTTGCCTAGGCTGGTTTCAAACTCCTGGCCTCGACTGATCCTCCCACTGCACCTGGCAAGTCCCACTTTTTTTTTTTTTTTTTTTTTTTTGAGACAGAGTCTCGCTCTGTTG